CCCCCCCCGAATGGTTATAGGCGCAGTTCAGGCTTCCTCATTTTCTTTCATTTCATGTCTGCTTCTTTCCTTAACCCCCCCGGCGTTGAAACGTTATTCCCCTGCATTGAACACGCAACGACAAAAGAAGGATTTCGGGACCTTTTCATGTGTACCTAGAGAGGTCTTGGGGTTTCCTCAGTACATAGCGTAGGAGCATCTGGATGCTATGAATACAAAAAGTGCTTAAAAACAAATTTCCCTCATCCGTGATGTTCATCTTCCTGTGATCTCGCATAAAGACAGGAGTGACCATGTCGTCTTTCCCCATTCTGTGCCTGCATCCAATGAATGCCATGGTTCCGATTATAACCACGGCATTTGGCACCCTCCTCCCTTGACCACACTCGTTGTTGAAGCATTCCAAGCCGCATCGTTTCATCCGGAGAATGCACGAACGTACTCAGTTTCCACCCCTTCACTCGACCATGTTTAAAACAAGAAGAGTTTGGAAGCGAAAGAGTGAAGTAAGCGCCTCGGGAAAACATTGTTTTGTCGATCGCGATGATCAAGGAGCCTCATGCCCATCATCTCTACATCTATAACTATGTCGGTCCGGGGCGATCACTCTTGGAACGAAAACAGACTTTACCATCAACCCATTATAAGAAGCAACATTCATGATGTAATAAGGTCGTAACCGATACGTGGATGCAAACGATATATAGCCAGGCATCATATTCTTCTTTTGTTTACACAAGCGCGTGATTCCATTCGCAATGTAGCGCCTTCTTCGGGGCTGCCATCTCCCATCACATTTTCACGACTTGTCACTGTTTCCGAGTCCCAGTCTCCTCGACAATGCCACAGTTCCGGCCCATTCCTTTTAGTTATTTCACAATATTCACAAGAAGCCAGAACATCCAGAAACTTCCTCTTAATCTGCGGCCAAAGGTATCTTACGCGTAAAGAACAAACGACATAAAAAACATTAAAGCCCACTCGGCGGCGTCCTAGAATTCCTAAAATCTTCTTCCGGGTCTCACATGGTAAATCGACACAAAACTTCAGACTACTTCATCATCCGATAATTAAGCGTCCTCCTTCTCCTTGCCAGTGATGACACCTGCATCCTCGAGGGTAGCGTCCGTGAACTTGAGATCATCCTCGACCGGCACCGTATCCTTAATTCGGAGCCAAACGACGGGGATGGCGAACAAAAGACCGGCACCAAGCGCAGCCCACTGTCGAACACCATCATTGTTAGCGAATACGATATTTCATATCACGATTTCAGGCGGGGTTCTAGGGAAGAGACTAACCGTAGCGGCGAAGATGGAGTTGAAGGCGACCTTGCGGCGGTCAAGGTCCCACCAAACGGCAGCGGCGGCACTCTGGAAACTCTTGTAGAGGCCGGCATAGTTGGCGGACTTGCGTCCAGAATTGGACAGAGCTCCCATGTACCTACAATCGAAATAAGTTAGCGGAGAGGAAAAAGATGAGGAAGGGAAGGTCGGCGACATGCAGAGGAACCATACCAGTAGATGCTAGTCTGCCACACGGCATCGTAGAAACCGTAGAAGAAGTACAAGAACATGGGAGCGAGGAACTTGCTGCCGTCAGTCCAATCGATCTCGTGGCCTTCAGTTTCCCCACGGAGAGCCTGGTCCTTCTGCCAGGCCCAGCCACCGCCCCAGATTCCAAAGGTCAAGGCAGTCAAAATGCCAAAGGCAATCTTAGCTCGAAGGGAGCGTCGGATTTTGGGGAAGTCGAGGCAGTAACCCCAGAGGAGAGCGCCGATAATCTGGGCAGACCAGTAGAGGACGCTGTTCAGGGCTCGGGTACGAGTGGTAAAGTAGACGCCGTTCATGATGTTGAGCTGGTAGGTGTAGAAGGTGTTGGAGCTCCAGAAGAGCGGGAAGAGAAGGACGACCCACGGGTCATCAACGACGGTCTCCCAAAGTCCGATGAACTCGGTCTTCCAGGAGGGATTCTTCATCAGAATAACCTTGGTGCCGTCTCGGCGGATAATGTTGTTCGCATTGGTAAGCCCCATGGACAAGATGGCGCCAAGGAAGGTGAGGACAATGAAACCGGCATAGGTGCCATCGGTGACGTTTCCGCCCTTGTTTTGCACATTTTGGCCGAGAGGGATCTGTTGCGTCGGTTAGGAATATCATGCCACACCATTTTAAATGGAGGGAATGGAATGCAAGTTGTTTTGCTTTTACGTACCAAGGAACCAATGACAGCACCAAAGTTGAAGATCATCCAGAAGGCAGAGATATAACGTCCCTTTCTCTCCTCGGAAGGATAGGACATCATAATAGCACCCTGGGCAGTCCAAAGCATACCAGCGCAAACACCAAGAAGAGCACCAGCGAAGATGACAAAGCCGGTGTTCTCATTGTGGGCGTAAGAGAAGAAAGACGCAACGTAAACACAGTAGCCGATACCTCCAAGAGTGAGGGTAAGACGGAGACCGAGTCGGTTGGCGATGGTACCGGCGAAGAAGGCGACAACAGCGAAGGTGCTGTACAGGGCGGTGTTGGCCTGGGCGGCGGCCGTGGTGTCCTTCAGACCCATACCTCCCATGCCACCGAGGGCGTTGAACATACCGGGGCAGAGGAAGCACACCATAGAAACCATGAAAAGCTGCACGCTGGGCGACGCATACCAATGCTCCTGGCCGAAGAGGCGGAAGCCCTTGTACTTCCAGCCGGAAGGTCGCCGGAGATGGCCGTCATGATGGGCCGCCTCGGGGGCCGGGGATGGCGATCTCTTTTCATCCGACATGTTCCTGAATAAGTTTCAATTCAATTTCCAGTCACAGTCGCAATCGCAGTCGGGGGGCGCAGAAGACGCTCGAGCTCCCAAACGTGCCCAAACGGTCTTGTAATTTCGTCTCGATAATCGTGGCAATCGGAGGACGAACAATCGAAGTAGCCTAGTACTCTGCTCTTAGTTTCGTCGTGGGCACAAGAGCGTTCGCAAGGTCCAAAGAGATGACCTACAAGATGAACCGGAGAAGCTTCGAGGTCGGGGGATAAGGTTCTAATTAGCTGCCAAATAAGGAAGGCGATATGTGAAACTGAAATTGATTCAAGCCACTTTTCAATTGATAACCTGGGCTAGGCGGTCGATCGCAGTATCAATTAGAAAATGCAGTGCAGGTTTCAATATTTCGATTGCACACACCATAGGAGGGGAGGGGGGAAGGGAAAGGTGAAGGTGAAGATCCCAAGCGAGGAAAAGCAAGCGAGGGTGAGAGTGAGACTGGGCAGGAGAAGTGAATTAAAGCAATTGAATCAGCTGGCGCTTCTTCTGTCAACAGTTGGGGAAGGAGCTCTGGGGAAGCTGGCCACTTGATCCAGGAATCCAGAATTGAGAAGGAGGAACCCGTCGTATAAATGAGCTGCGGGAAGGAGCATCGACGGAGGAGGTTGTTACACGAGGTCGCGACTACTCGCATCCAGGATGGCTCCATCAGATGGTTTCAAACAGCTTCCCTCAGCAAGGCATTTTTCAGATACCAGATACTAGATACCAGAGTACATCGAGTACAAAATACTATGGCAGTCCTCTAAGGCATGCGTGACCCTCAACATGTACACTCAATCCGCTACTTTGTTGCTGCGTGCCGGCATCCGGACTATGGCGATGTAACTTTCCCATCTCCATACCTTACATACTATGAACCGTTCATATCCCTGGCTGTTACCGGAATGCCAGCATGTTGGGGGGTCCACGAAGTACACTAGTACTGCTGGGGTAGGTAGTTTAGGAAGGGAGGTCGCGTCTCTCTGCATATCACGAGAGCAATACGACTTTGTTACAACAGGTCCGTTCTCGAGGTGATGGGTAAGTGGGACGTTGCTTGAAAATGGTAATGGGGAACGGGGAACTGGGGAGGGCAGGGGAGGCTTCGAGCTCGCGTCAAGGTCAAGGTTGGCTGGGCAGGGCCATCTGAACCATGTCTCGCCGCCAGCCAGATGGGAACAAGGATTCGCTAATGACGCATCGCCGCATGGTGGTAGTAGCAGCGAAATTCAGGACGGGCACTGATAACGAACAATGGGCAATGGGCCCCTCCATGGGGCCTGGGATGACCGGCGAGGTAGCTTTTACGAAGGATTGATCGTTGATGGCTGTTATCAGTATCGACCACCTCGTACGGGCACATGGAAAGCGGCGGGACTCTCTACTAGTCCCAACGCAAGAGAAGAAATTGAAAGCCGCTTGGTTTACGGGTTCGAGTTGGGAAGGGTGGAGGGGACACGGGCAGTTCAATCAAGAATGGATCGGCGAGTCAAGGAGGAGAGAAGGCATGCAATTTGAATCGTGACCCGAGTGCCTGGCGCAAACGGCAGTCAACCGTGAGAGAGAACTCAAGCGCTTATCCCATTCTCTCTCCCGATCAAATTGTGAACAATTACTGGTACTTTAGAAGGGTAATAGCATAGCAGAGAAGATAGAAAGGAAATAGCCTTAGAAGGGGATAATCTCGAGCGCCGACTCGGCATTGGTCGAACATATTGCATTGGAGACGTGGAGGTGGAGGGACGGAGCAAGGCATAACGGACCGAATGGTCTAGAGTCTCGACGCTGGTTGGGCCAGCGTCGCCCGAGGTCACGAGTTCCGGCCCACCCAAATCTCACCAGCGGGGAGAAATTGCCCGATGCGGACTGATGTAGGAAGGGTGTAAGACTGCCTGCCCGTCAAAAGACCCGTCCTCCGGCACAATAAGGTTGCAGATGAAAGGATCGAGAGAGAGTCAAAAACACTTTAACTTGCTGACATGTTGTAGTGTACACTAGAGAGTAGTTTAACACAACATCTACACCTACGAAGCATGAGCCCAGTTTCTGCAAATTCTCATTCACTTTCTGCTTCTCCCTAATGTCTTTCCACCTCTATTCCAGGCAGGAACAACTCAAAAGTTTCAATCGATCTCTTCCGAAGTAAAATTGTTTATCTCCACTACGATTCAGGTTGACGAAAAGCAGGCCAGTACCACCTCAGTGGTCGCATCTCATTGGTCAGCAGGTTTGATACCACCATCGTTCCTCTGGCATGTAACGTTTCTTACAAGCCCGGACCCTCAAAAATCAGAAAGAACCATCGAAAAGAGGAAAAAAAAAAAAAAAAAAAAAAAAAAAAAAAGGAAAGCAGAGAAAAGAAAAATGTTCTCCACACCGACCAGCCCAGTCCCCGCATCCTGCAGCTGATCTTTCCCCAGTCGGAAGAAGCCGACGCCGTCATTCTCACTAAGCTTCCTCCGAATACACCAATCAGATCAAGCAGCGCGTCCCTGATTCAATGGTCGCTGTGGTCGTTCCGTTCCTGCCCTCCAAACGGAACGAGACAATCGAAGCCTTCATCGCACTTTCGTAGTTTAGATTGAAGTGAAGTGTCAAAGATTGTTCGAGATCCCCACTACGAAGTTAAGCACATGATCCTTGCAGGACCTTTGGTAAACGTTAAACTCCACGCCAATAATAAAGACGAGGCACCTACGGCTACCGAGTACGCATAAACTACGTCCTCTTGACGCTTCCAGAGACGACTGCAGACCACGCCACTGCTACCATCGAAGCTTAGAGTCGTCCTCGCCTATCCTAAATTGTCCAGGCTCCTTTGCGAACCTCGAGAATAGCACATCTGGTCCATTGTCTATCTAGGCTTAACCCACAAAATTAGTCCATTCATTGAAACCTTGTCCCTCCATTGTCGGTCCCAATTCCGGATCCGCCTCAACCCGTACATACCCGACCTTCCTCCATGAAGTCTGATATTCAGCACCGTTTGCAATGCCCATCGATCTCGATTCGTATCCGGGCTAGCATTGAATAAATCCTATTGCGTCGAACGATTCAGCCCTGTCACCTCCAATGACAGGTCCTCGATGTTACAACCATGCGATTTAAGGGTTTCTCTGACTGAAGAGGATGGCACCTGGCCGTGTCCTTGGAGTGATCCTATCGACCCGGATCCTGCCATCCTGCCACTGAACACTGATCCAATAGCTGTGCTGGAGCTGTAGTTTTCTCTTTATCTTTTATCCTTTTTTTTTTTTTTTTTTTTCCTGTTTCTTCTTCTTTTACAGGTAATAGGACATGGCAGACACCCGATCCAGGGTCACCATGCAGGGACTTACAACCTCCCATCGTCACGTCACAGCAGGCATCCACTAATAGATCCCGTAGCACACGGACGATGTCGAGCACGTTATCGTGATCCCCTGGCCTGTAGTACGGAACATGATGGGAGAGAGTTCTATTATCAAAACTACCTCGTATACTCCAGGACCCCAGGACCCATTCCGTCGGGCCCGATTCGGATCCTACATACACTACAGGGCCTTGCATGATGGTTCTTGGTGGGCCAATCGAGCCTGATTCTTCTCAATATGGATCCTGTGCGCATATATACAGGCTTCCTTGTAGCCTAGGCGTGGCATGCTCGCTTGCTTCCGCCCCAGAGTCTCAAATATCAAAGTGTTGTCTTTCACGTAAGCCCTGCCCGCCGAAGGATTGAAAGACATCATTTGATATTCCTAAGCGGCCGATCCTCGATACGAGTTGCCCAATCTCCTCGGTAGGTTCGATCAGCTATTGGGATGAAATGAAGATCTAACGTTGAAGCTGATATCTTGTCGTTACTATTTTAATCTGAGAACCAAAGACAGCAAAGCCATCCAGGATCGCAGGTAGTTGTGAGCTCAAGTAAACAGCCCTCTTCCGTCGTCGTGCATACGAGACAACCCCACCTGCAGCAACCCACCCACAATTTCAATCCCCAGAGCTGGGATACTCCTCCTGACAGCCAGTCCCCATCCATTCCCGGGGAGCTTGTTTAATGCTCCTCGCCATTTGATTACTCGCGGTCTCCCACCATCTCATCAAAGGGACCGATTAAACGTCACAAGTGCCTACCAGCCTTATCTGCATGGCCCCTAGCCTATCCCCAAAGAGGCCAAGCACACCAGCCCCTCACCTCCATTGACTTCTTCTGCCATTGCTACGTCGTATCTTGGACGATGCTACATCTTTTAGAGTCGTCCATATCACTGTCTACGAAAAGGGCCCTAGCCAGTCGCCCTCTGATACTAGGCTATGGCTTGGGTCCCAGCTCACCCGACATGCCCTCGGTCTCGTGCAGTCGGAGAAGCTTCGATATCTGTCGTTTTGGTTGGCATGGTAATAAACACGAAGAAACAGGACATGGCATCCTCGTATCTCTAGGCTCCTGATCCCATCCGAAGAGCGATATCGAATCAGGGCACTACTCACCTAGGCCAGCTCTGCCACGCGCCCCAGCTCCTGTTCATCAGTATTGTTTTTGCCTACGAGGATTTTGTCACTATTGTGACCCATTTATACTGCAAAAACAGGAGTTCTTATGGCTCCTTGGGCGTGGCGAATGGCTGTTTAGCCATCCCATGACCGCGGCTGCGGGAGGGACAAACGGTTGGTCTCGCCTTACATTGAGGCTTTTACGCACGAAGCAAGATATCGACCGTGCCGCTCAACCTCAATCCAAGATGCGGAAGCAAATATCAGACCCGAGAATCAAGTATCCTGTCTTCCCATCTGGTGACATCGGCTGTGGGATGCGGGTTCAATGGCAGACTCTGCTAACACTCAACCCGCCTCGAATCATAGATAATAAATAGTCGATACGTTGTAACACGTCCACGACATCCTTACCATAGTTGAAATCATACATCCATCGACGCTCTCAGCAACCTCGAACACATAGCTAAGGATAGAAGGATCGGATGCGCCGGGCCGAAGCTATCTCCTATGCCCTCCCTCATCATATAGAACGGTAGCTCACTCTCTCCAATATCGAAGAGTAAAGACTCGACTCTGTCCACAATGTTATCCGCTACCCTCAGAGTGTTGATCCATCTCTCAGCAGGCACGACCACGAGGAGTAGGGAAGTACTTAAACATCTGAGATGAGGCTCCGGGACCGTTAGCCTTTCGGCCTACGGCTTACTGCCTTTGCTTTCGACGCCTTGCAGTGTTGAGCACCACAGTCCTCATGAGACTGATTGACTTTCAGAGCTGTTGTTTAACGAGCATATACTCGGCCGGTACTACTAAGAGTTTGTTGTTGTCTACCTCATCTTCCTCTGCAGCTACATGTACCAGGGACGAGTAATGAGAGCAACCCAGCTTTCATTGGAACAATTCATCGTGAGAGGGGCCAATACGGCGAAATATTTCGAGCAAGTGATGGCCTTCAGGCCTGTCATATTGATGCTAATCGGATCTCCTCCGCAAATGCCTCTGCCCAATCTTTTCTCCCCTCTTTCGACAAGGAGATTGTCCAAAATACTTCGAATATATACGTATAGGAACAGGATATAAAAAACCGACGGGGAAAAGCAACAAAAAAACAAGACGGAATGGGGTTGCTTTTCTTCCCCATCCAAAAAATTTCATCAATACGCCGATATGCTACCGAACACCTCCCCGTAAGATTTTGGTAATCCTCCTGCCGTTTTGCCTCTTCGAAACCCCATTGCCAAACCCAAAGCGCCGGAAAAGCTCGATGAAAAAGGAAAACACAGGAGTCAGAGTGATCTGAAATGGAGCGGGCAACTCGGCCCAACGTAATGTAACATCCCGTGAGAGACTAAATGGTTGGCACCTCGTCTGCTATAAAAATAGACATAACAGGAGCCGGAGAAAACAGTCACGAACTTGCCTGATCTGAAACATAGAATATAAACGGGAGAGAAGCTGGAAAAAGATATAACGGCTGAATGAAGGGTAATAGGAGAAGGTATATAAACATGATGGGGTATCAATGACGAAGATCAAAGGATGTAAAAAAAAAAACGAAAATAAAAAGAGTAATAAAAAATATGAGGGCAGGTACAGGCAAGGTGACGGGGCTATTTGTTTAGAAAGTCAAAAAATATATATAAGGGTGAAAGGGACAAAAGATGATGAAGCGAGTGTGTGAGATCGTGTCTAAGTATGCGTCGCAGTAGATCCGTTCTGCTGACGGTCCCTGGACATCCACGAGAACAGGTCGGCGCCGCGTTGCGAGGTCGTTGTTGAAATGCTGCCGAGGGTGGAGGCGGCATCCGAGTTGGCGCGAGAAGAGAGCTCCCGCGGCTCGAGGAGTAGACTCTTTCGGTAGTATGTTACCTGGACATTGCCTGGATCATTCAGGCGAACCCGTGAGATCTGGGCGCTCATCCATTCCTGGATCTCGGGAACCTCGCTGAGCCTGTATGGTATTTGGAAGCGTTGAAGCTCGCTAATAATCTTGGCAGTTCGGGTATGCTTATCAAAATTCACAACCGTGATGCCGCCAGCTTCCTCGTCTCCTTCATGGCCAAGGGCATGGAGCTGCTTCGTGGCAGCATTGCCAATGTCGACAAAGGTAAGATCAGTGAGATACATGCCGAGGAAGGGGAGGCAAGGAGGCACGTGGTCATGAAGTCTGGCGCGGAGTAGCTTGTGGTTTTGGGATGGCTCGACAAGAGCCTGAAGAGTCCGGAGCATCTCACGGCGTCTGGGAGAGACGGCATCCCACGTCTTTTGGAGGCGACTGATTATGCTACTGTTGAGACTGCAGATGATGGCCATCAGACCATCGTAGTTGTGGAGTTCGTAGCACTGGTGAGCAATCTTGATCCACTGCTTAATGATGGCTGCTCGTTTCTTAACTTCCGAGTATTGAAGAATCGTTTCGGCAACGAGGTTAGAGAGATCGGTAGACAAAGACGACATGGCCTTGACATTGGGCGCGTCGACGCCGCCGTTCTTCATCCACTGCGATGCAAGAAGCTCCTCGGGCATGACATTGCAAAAGATGTTCATTTGCTTGATGGTTAGCTGACGAGCCAGTTCGAGAGGGTCGAAGTCAAGGATGGACGGGCTGGCCCCTCCTGTCCTCCAAGTGTGGAGAGCATTGAGTTGGCTCCGCGAGATGATTGGCGTAGGTAGCGGCGTGTCCGCAGGTATGTACTGGGCAATCGACGTGTTGGTCTTGCCCATCGACGAGACGAGGCGGGGAACGAGAGAGCCCTCACTAGAAACGCGGTCGGCGAGTTCGGCAAGGCGGCGGCCAGCTGAAGGAATCACAGACCCGAGCTTCTGGTCGGTAAAGGGAACGATGAGGGCAAGAGCTTCGCGGTCGGTCTCGTCCCTCCAGTGAGATTCGAGCCAACCCTTGAACACATTGTAGACACGAAGACGGACGGGTCCAGCCATGTGGGGGGCTTCGCCAACATAGTCGAATCGATCGATCAACGCTTCGGCCAGCTCTCGGGGTGTGCAGAATAGGCGGAACGTGAGGTAGAACGTCGACACGAACAAGGCGTCGGGAGTCGACTCGTGCGTCGTCAACCTCTCTACAAGGGCGGGAAGGGTGCCGCCGGTAACTTGCCCTTCCTTGTTGAACATGAGCTCGTGGGCGTACGTCTTCTCTAGAAGCTTGGATTCAACATCAACCTCGTCCGCGTGCTGAGCACTGTCAGCTGTGCTGAGCTCGGATATAGATGGTTGGCTGCGTGGTCCGACGGTGTGGTCGGGCGTGGTCGCTCGGGTGGAGGTGCGGGAAATGATACTGGACTCCGAATCCCGGCTCATGTACGTGCTAGTGCTTCCGGCGCTCGACGCGGTCATACTGTCGTAGCGTGGAGAGGGTTGGAATTCCGTTTCCGCACTCCGCTCCTCTGCGGAATAGTCTTCAGTAGGAAGCAGAGTGGTCGCCAGTTTCGGGAGAGGGGGAAGACTTGGTCTTAGCGACGAGACAGAAGAGACGAGGCTCGACACGTTGTCATCGTCGGCAGTGGATGGTCGGGAAGCTGCAGCAGGGTCCATGGGTTGGGTGAGGAAGTCTTGATCAATTGGGCTCGCTGTAACTGGAACTTCAGGCAGCGGCTTGTCAAGTGGGAGAATATTCAGTCTTGGGAGGGCCTTCTCGGTAGGCTCCAAAGAGGAGACGACAACCTCCGAAGGAACAGCCTCCGAGGTGGCCGTTGAGTCGGCAATGGTGTCGGAATCAGAGCCGATGGTATCCACGAGAGAAGGTGTCACAGACTGGGACACCGAGGGTGCCCGTTCACGCTCCTCCGGAATAGCGTCTAGCATGCTAACGTCAATACCCGCGGTCTGGCCGTCCAATTCACATTCGAAATCGCCGATCCTGGCAATGACCGAATTGGTCCTCTCGACGCACTCACCCGCTGCCTTGACACAGCCGGTGGCAGCCGCGGAGAGCATGGTCGTCTGCTCAGGCATAATGATATCGGTATCATCGGTGGCCGCCTGGAGAATGATATCCTGACCCGCTTGGATTAGTTCTTGGATGCGGGCAAATAGACCAGCACGAATGGGAGCAACCATCTCGCCGCTTATGGCGTCGTGGGCACAAATCACGTCGACTACGGCGAGGAGCTCGCCACCGGAAGCCGCGGAGGTCTTGATAGCACGGACTAGTTCCGCCTTAGACTGTGATTGCAGATGGAGACGTCCAATAAAGGAGCCCAGTTGAGAGAGAAGGGTATCGTGTGTCTTGCTAAGTTGTTCGGATACTAGATGCTGAGGTCGTGTAACAGGCGAATATCCAGACAAAGATAGCCTGTGAGAGATGTTTGCGGAGAGACGATTGGTGGCAGAGAGGTTGCCTTGGGATAGGCGATGGGATGCTGTGCTAGTAGGTGAGAACAAGGAGGACGTGCGCTTGCCGACGACTGCCTGGGAAGGGTCCAGGAGACCAGGTTGAGGGGTGGAATCAGGCTGAGCCTCAGTGCTCGCAGTAACGGACGCGCCATCCTCGGTCGCCACGGCTTCGCTGGTGTTGTCAAATGCGACCTGGTCGGCCGGGGGCGTAGGAGGAATCAGCGACTCCTCAATGACTGTCGCCATGATGGACATGGTGGGGAGTCTCATCCGCCGATCATCCTCGAAAATGTCTAAGAACCTCACCCCCTTCGTGACGATTCGGAAGGCTTTCAATATCATCTCGTCGACTAGGTTGTTGACATCATCCGCTGTCGTTAGCGGGTCTCCCTGGCATTCTTGTAAACGCTTCGCTGTCTTTACGAGAGATGATAGTTCCGCTAGCAGCGACTTCCTGCCTCTCCTTAGACCTTCGTTCCGGAGAATGATAGCCGCCTCTCTTGTGAGTGAATGTGTCCGTTCCTTTAAGAAAAACAATTTAGCACGGGGCTCAAAGCCTCATATGGCAAGCCGAGAAAGAGGGGGAGGTCAGACTCACCAGGAGATACCGAACGCCAGCAATGATGCCCTTCATGAATTCTTGGTTGCCAAATATCTCGTTGTCATTCACATCCGTGCTGCGGAGCAAGTCCCAGAAGTTCAAGAGGGCCTTGAGAAGGTTCCGCATCTCCTCCGGGTCGTAGGATTCGCAGTAGTTGGTGGGCAGCCAACCCCTCGCACCACTAATAAGCAAGGTGCCATCAGCCCAGCCATTGGTATGTATGGAATGTACCAAGATGACATCGCCTTCATTCAAGGGAAGCGTAACGCTCGAGTCACTCATGGCATAGCTCGGATGGAACGGGTAGAAGGCGCGGAGGAAGTTGTGGAAGACAGGAGGGACCGGATATGTCGTCTCGGCCACAAGGTCCTCCCGGGAGGAGTTCGGCGTCGTCGGGGGCGTCATCTGGGACTGTGTATATAGATCGTTCGTGGTTGCTGCTTGGTTCTGCTCATCGTAAGGAGCTTGTTCCGTATTCGAGTTCGGCAAAAGCTTCTGAATACTTAATGGGGCGACCTGAAGGCTCGCCCTCATCGGTTGGTGGTCGCTCAACAGGTTCATTGCTGTTGACGGGTGTTACTCCACGACATGGGTTGCTGGCTCCGCGTCCGGCGGGTAGGGCCCTCAGTCAGGCCGCTCGTCAGTAGCAGTGGAGATCGGTAAAGTGAGGTCGGTGAGGTAGGTATCGTGGTCTGCTCAAGCTTGCCCGAAGCGAATTCAGTCCGGCCGGATGGAAGCTCGGATGAGCTTAGGCCGTAGACAAGAGGGCTCTCGGCACTCCTTCCCGAGCTCGAGCGGATTTGTGTTCGCAGCAAAAACCCCACGGTGGTGGCGGGGTTCAACTATAATCCTAGGGTAAAGCGTGTCGTCAAGGTCGTGATGGTCGAGTGTGGGAAAAGGAAGAGAGGGAAAAGTAAAGGGTAAAGGGGGAGGGTGGGATGTCATTGAAGTCTTGTACCTGTCTTCCTTCCCATGCTCTATGGGTGTACTTGGTATTAAACTGCTTGGGCAAGGGCAAAGGGGGGGAACGGTCTTCGTCAAGGATCTGGAAGTGGAGTGCAGGGGACATCGAATTTGGTGCCTTTGTTGGAGTACATTTGATGTACACTGCGAAAGGTGCTTGGGCCCTGGAGCCTGACCAGGTTGGCACCCTGAATTGATGTTTCGGGGAGTGGGGGGTGGGGTTTAATACAATTGCAGGGGCGTGTGTGAATTGAGATTATTGTGCCGTGCCAAGATGAGAAGTACCCTCGTATACTGTATCCATCGGCAGAGTACCCACATCAACACCAACGGGGAAAGCACAAGTCCGTTCTCAGAAAGTCGGACTGGACAATGAGTGGGGAGCACCTGTCCTGGAAATTGTATTATGGAAAAAGTACGAAGGAGGAAACAGCACTCTGGCGTTGATAAATCTTCCCGAAAGCTGACGAGACTGTCCTCAAACCCTGGAGAATATCGTCGGCAAAGTGCACGAAAGATCACTTGCTTCCCGTACCTTGTAGCTCTCGATCTGATCCCAGGCGGCAGATCCCGCTTCCACTTGAAGTAGAGGTTGATATCAACAACAAGAGAACTCCACTGTCCATCCGCTCTTATGAAGTACAACAAACAACTCGTACTTACACAACCCGACATGAGAATGAAGGTAGTCGACCACTCCATATTCATACTATCGCCCGAGTTAATTCTTGCTACGTCACCACAAGGACAGCGCCGGAGAAAAAAGGTCACTCGTCCGGCGCCTGCTTAACGTCGTAATAACCGCTGCATGAGTTCAAGCAAGGCAGAAGCTGAGGGCGCCTGCCAACTACCTTGACAGCCCCTGCGGCTCTTGGATAGCTCGACTCATACCGGTGGTGGCGAAGAGTCTCATTTGACCGCGAGGTAATTGGCAGGCATGACTCGCCGAAGGCATCCATAGATCACTCATTAGGGCTTTGGAGCAGGCAGTGATGGCATCGCACTTATGGCCAGGCCGGCGCATTCGCAGGGTGCTTCTTTAGGATGCAAGTAGTATTAGCAGGCACAACGCAATGCTGGCATCGCCGGGCAGAGTCACGAGTGAATTGATAAATCTCATCGTCAAGCGTAAGGAAGCCATTTCTCTGCCTTATATTGCCATCGATGCTTGTTACTTTTTGTTCTTTAAATATCTATGTCTTAAATATCGGAGAGAGTTTGCCGGTTTCACAATCGCGATTGGACTCCGTCGGAAAAGATATGGGTGCTTAACCCATTGTGCATTTAGCACAAAGCAGATGCCGAGACAATTGAGGCATCTCGGGTCCCCGCGCAAATTGTCACAGCTTTGAGATGGATGGAAGGTGCGGGGAAGATGGCCCTCAAGGTGACTCGATTCGATGATCCAGCAGCGCAGATCCTTCGATGAGGTTGACAAGACATTGTGGAGCAGCAGCCTCGATAATCATTCATCAATGACAGAGTCAAGTCCTCAGTGCCAGGCTCTTCGATGTACTGAGGTAAGAAGTACTCTCTGCTCTAGCGGCTTCATGACATCGATCATTTGACATGTACAAATACGAGAAATTGTAGGAGAAATGGCTTGCAGAATGAACTCATTTTAAGTACTGTTACAACGGTGTGCCCTGAGCTCAATGCATTGGTCGCCATGGGGCAACAAGCCTTGGGGCAGCCCGCCAGGACCGAGGAGACGCTGCCAATCGTCACTCCCCAACCAATATCAATCATTATTAGTTTACAAAGGGTCCTCTCCCGTGGGCAACACGACTTGATTCAACCGGACGCAAACATCATAGGCGGCACACACATGGAATACACGCTGCTTCGGCGACTGATCCGTCCCATCGGCCAACTCTCGCCTATCGTGGTGGTTGCGTGCCTCAACGAATTACCTTGATGTGAGCGGCGCTCGAGGATGAAATAAAATCCTGAGGTCCATGCTTTGCAGAAAACTAGCTGCAGGCGCTTTGTACATCCCTACTTTATACATAATATAGCTTCCTCCGGAGGGTAGGATTGCGTATGATGTTTGGACATCTGTACTTCGTAGAGGAGCAGAGCCCCGGCAGATGGGCCAATCGATGACCGGAGTGGAAAATCACTTTCTGCTGTGCTGCCCGAAACAAATCCTCCTCCTTCCAACCTAGTTTAGATTTCGTTCCGATATTTTCTGCCCCTGAGACCATATCCTGGTAAAAAGAAAGCTTAAATGAGCTTCCATGGCAACAGGCGCCACAGTGAATGGAATAGATCTACACTTGCGATGGCGATGAAACTATGATTTTCGTCTTCATCACATCTCCGAATGCATCACCACGCCATGGCAGTCAGCGATAAAAAAAAAAAAAAAAAAAAAAAAAAAAAAAAAAAGGGAAGAAAAGGCGCTGATAGTCCCAATGCACAGTGCGTGGAGGGCCGCCAAGATTGGATGCCCGCCCTGTACCTTAGTAGTCTTTTGTTCTTTTCTCTCTCCTCCATTAGCTCACAAGAAACATTTCTGACTCGCAACCGACTAGTCCGCTAGGCTCGCGTCGGGAGAGTGTTGGGAGAGTAATGACGTGAGACACCGGCCAGGCCAGGCCAGGCCCAGGCGCCATATCAGGGCCTCCACTAATGGGTTCTGGAACTCGTACGAAGTATATAATGACCGGCTTTTTTTTTTTTTTTTTTTTTTTCCAACTCACCAACCTTTATCGAAGAGGAAGCGGCCTGAGCATAACACCAAAAGCGGATATATTCTTTAGCGATCAAGTTCAAGAGGACAGTGCCCTGCATCCAGGATGTCCGCCTTCTGCAGGCGCTGCTCTAGCGTCTAGCCAGCGCCGACAGTCCACGGCGGTGACCGAAGCCGACTTCTGAGCCGTCCGTGGATGTCCATCCATTGATGTAGTGTATGTATCTGATACCGACGAGAGATCAAATCCATTTGGGTTAGGAACTCATTAGCGACCCCGTTACATTTGATACCCCAATTGATATTTTGAGTCATTTACTTCGTACTTCGAAGCCAGCAATAATCTTGAGCCAAGGACAAAGGAGTGTACCAAGATCAATTTTTCATTGTTTGCCTCGACCAGAAACTAATAGTTTCCCGATCAATTCGCCTCGACCTCCTTGGTGGCGGTAAGATAGCCGGAAAGGAAGCGCACCAACACACAGTTCCCCCGGATGCAGGACACGATGTCACGTCGTTTAAAAAATGGCAAATAATTATGGTCTGCCAGTCCCGGACTTTGACAAGTCTTTGACGTCGGGTATTACCTGTCACGATCCCTGGTCCCGAAGAGCCTGGACTGGCTTGGTCGTCCCTGAATTTCTGGTTCCGAACAGTGTCCTATGTAGCATCCTGAGGTACCGTGCTCCTGCAGCTGTAGCTATTTTCAGAGATGGGAATTACTTGTAGATGACTAAGTGTCAGCCAAAGCATCCTGCATCCACAATTGCACCAACATCACAGCGAGCCCGCGCTTTGAGATCCCGCGGCGATGCAGTACAAAGGTACAAAGGCACAAAGGTACTTAGGACATAGAATTCAAAATCGGGAACAATTTGAAGTCCATGTGCGCATTGTTGGAGCATCAATGATGCAAGCTGGTCGGGACACGACTCAAAGCTTGTCGCGCAAGTATTGTTGTGTACTGTTCTCATTAAACATTAGTACTGTGTTCGCATGCCCAGTTCCACCGATGCTGGCTTCTGTCGAACAAGACACGAATCGAACTTCAGAAACAAGAGCTCGATTGAAAAGGCAAGTAACCCTCAAAAGCATCAATTGATCATTGATCAATGAATTTTTACAACGGAAATGCTCCCGACATTCCAAACAAGCCGCTCCGGCAGAGGGTTTGGATTACAAGTACATGTGCCGGAAACTTGAAGAAGCACACTCTTCGCCCTGGCAACGCTCAACTGCCCGTCCCGACCCGCCCCAAACCGTTATTGACCCCATCACATCACTCTAAGAGTAATTTCGACAGACTCCGGGGTTTATATTTGCTTTTTTTTCTTGGAATAGAATCCATTTTCACCCAATTTTTTTTTTTTTTTTTTTTTTTTTTTTTTTTGCCTTTTACCCTTGGTCGACTTGAAGGAAGGCAAGTTGGCCTTGCGGCCTTGCGTCCCATCTCGAAAGTAATGGCGGATGTCAATCGTGTTCTACATGTCTTCCACAAGTATGGAGGAGGTCGTCGGAGCCGAGCACCAGCATAGAGCGCATCATGTCATCCCGGCAGTTGAAATTTCAAAGTCACCAGGCGAAACATGGCCTATCGCTGTAAAAGGATCAATTGAGGGGATCACATTGTATCAAAATCTGCACCAACCGTATCGGATATAACCCCCTGTATTCGGAAGGTGGAGCTCGGAAATATTAGCACGTTGAATTTTTTTGGATTCTTGGAAACCACTCAATCCCTACTCTCTGCGGATGTGCATCAGCAGATCAGCGGGCTTCGGAGTACGAAGTAAGATGCGCAGGTGTAAGTGTGATGGCAAGCAACATGCAAAATACACCCTTTCGCATGATCAATTGAAAGCAGTCCTCAGCAACTTCCGCGCGGCTCCGAGGGATGGCTCGC